ATTTTCTTACGCTTACGTTTTACGTCCTTACGACATTTTATGTGTGAAGGCCTTTACGGCGTTATACGTTTCTTGTGCGTTGACCCACGTTACGTTACGCTACATTACCATATGAGAATCTTTAGTCTTGCGCACGGTCGTATACACAGGTCTGGCAACTCGGGCCGAATTTTAGTGGTGGGGGTAGCACACTTATTGAAGCAGGTTTTTTAATTTATGATATCTCCACCACGTGTCGCTACTATCTAGTATACAGCCGCCATCACGGTCGTACCACAGTCCACGACCGTAGCCGCCGTTATATTATTATATGTTCAGTGGTTCAATGCACGGTCGTGTGTTGTGTCACGTGTATAGCCGCTGAGTTAATAATTTTGAAAAATATAATCTGTGTGCCTACGTCGTTTATTCACTTGCTCACCACCTTCGCTAGCATTATCTCCTTGCTACGCTGAATTGGGCCCGGAACGCCGTCTAATAATCGTCATAATAACCGTCATAATAACGACGTAACCTATAACGACGCTATTGCTGCTGTGGCTGGCCGCCTCCCTCGGCATTTGCATCATCATCGACCTTTCCTTCGCCTTGCTCGTAACCTGTGCTCGTAACCCTCCTGACGTCCGCGTGATCTACGATTCTGCGGTCGATCATTGCCGCGTCTCGGATACACCCAGTGGATACCGCGATATCTGCGACGTTTGTTCGCGGCATAGGGTGAACTTTTTATCTTTAGTTACAATTAGTAGTGCGAGTAAAATAGTGCGAGTTACAATTGTCAAAGTTCATTAATAACTTTTAACCTTAGATTAAGTCACTTTTTGAGCGATCAAGATTCTTTTTTAATCTCATCCGTCACGTAGAAGCATGCTTCGCAAAATATACATATCATGTGGATGTTTTTGAGTTAACGTTCGATGAAGTTATTACAACTTATGATTTTACGTTTCCGTGCAAAGAGCACGCTTCTGACATACTATCCTTTGCATTAGTCTATTACATTCGGTTAAGGATGAGGCAACACGCTCATCAACAAAACTTAAAATTAAGTAAAAAATTTGTTGTGAAAAAAAAGCTGTCAAAATTGACGAATGAATAAACTGCTCTTTATATAATAATGTTATATTGTATTTTTTTCTTTACCATGTAAACCTGAAATGTGTTTTTTTTTTCAAATCTGATACAATTTAAACATTATTCATGAGTGAATAATGTTAAAATTGTATCAATGATTCATCCGGAATCGGACACTAATATCATCAAAATGTCGCATGCCGTAGCTAAAAACACTCAACTAAACGTTATTTAAAATCACGGTATAATAAGACTCGGTCATATTTATCATGCTCGCCTGCATGTACAACGAATTTATTTCCTGCCAGTCAGCTTCGCGTTCTTTATTTGTCTCGTTATAACCGTACTTAAATTTGGCGCGTTTTGTAATTCATTGTCTGGCCGCCGCTGTCGTTGCGATCTAGTAGCCCGACTAGCTTCAATAAGTGAGTCACCCCCCACCACCGGAGTTGCCAGACCTGTGTATACGACCGTGGTCTTGCGGAGGCTCTAAGGCTGATGGCAGAGAACGACACGTGTTAGAGCCACCGCACAAGACTCTCGTATGGTCACGTAGCGTAACATAACGTGAGCCAATTACGCACAAGAAACGTATTGGTTACGGCCGTTACGGCGTTATACGTTTCTTGTGCGTTGATCTACGTTACGTTACCATACGAGAGCTTGTGCGGAGGCGCTAACCGATACGTTTTTTGTGCGTTGACTCACGTTACGTTACGCTACGTGACCATACGAGAGTCTTGTGCGGTGGCTCATAGGGCCAAAGCACATATGACAGTCGTAGTCGTGGACGTAAGTAACGCACAAGCTTTGGCGTATCTTGATTTGTCAGGTCGAGGACTACGACCGTCGTATATCGCTACGCCATGTTATGTGCTTTGGCCCTTAGGTTCTTATATTTATCGTAATCGTAGACGTAAAGCAAGGCAGGCTTTTCACGATTTTGTACTACGTAGTTACGTATACGGTTTTATATCACACGTGTGTGGAAAGTGGACCATTACGCGCGCGCCATTTGTGCGAAAAATAGCCAATTCCACACGCGAGAAATTCCCCACTCGAACCCGTGCAGGAATGAAATATTCCCGCACTGCGTGCAGGAAATATCTCATTCACGGCCTCGATTGAGAAATCTCTCGCGCGTGCGGAATCGGCCATCCGTCGCACAGATGGCGCGTGCGCAATGGGCCACTTTCCACGCACTTTGTAATATAAAGGGTGTGTAACACGTGCGGGTTGAGAATTGGACTCGCCTTCGGCTCGTGCGTCCACTCCGCACCCGTGTCCATTCTCAACTTCCCGCACTTGTTACACAAATAACTATTATGCAACACGTGCATGGAAAGTGCCCCATTACGCACGCTACGCGTGCGTGATAGACCACTTTCCAGGCACATAAAATAGGGACCTTGCAACATAAAATAGGGAGTGTAAGCCGTGTGTAAAGATGAAAATTCCCGGGTGCGGTTACCGCACTCGCCTTCGGCTCGTGCGTAAACTCCACACCCGGGAATTTTCATCTTACCTCACTTGTTACACACATAGAGATATAAGAATAGAGTGCGCGAGCGAGCTGAAAAAGCGATATAGGAATAGAAAGAGAAAGCTGCGCAGAATAAAAAGAGAAAGCTGCGCATGGGCCCCTTCTGTCTTTGTTTCGCATGCACGCGTAGACAAAGACAGAAAGGGCCTATATGCAGCGTTCTTTTTCTATTTCTATATCGCAGCCTCTTACGTACTAGCATATGACTCGCGCACTCTATTCTTATATCTCTATGGTTACACAAATAACTATTCTCTGCCTTGCTTTACGTCTACGATTACGATAGACGTAAGAACCTACGTTTCGTTCTCTGCCATCAGTCTTAGGAACTCTAGGATAAATTATAGGTATTGGATGTGTATGAATTTCATCGATAGCAGACGCGTAGGATGAGATAATGACATTTAATATCCCAATTCTTATACATCGACGTCAATATAAGAAATACGATTTCATTCGTTTTACTCGATCCGATTGCTAATTAGCAAACAACCGCTGTCCTAGTGATCAATTGACAATTAATTAGCGCTTTCCTTCATAGTGTAGTCGTCTACAAAGTTAGATGTCGATCACAGCCTATCCAAGACTTTGCCACACATCATTCTCTCGTCGTGTTAAGCACAGAGATAGATACCTAGGTAACCTCGAAGGATTCCATTCCCTTACATTTCTCACAAAAGAAATAGAATCTTCGTATTTGGAAATCTTGATCTCGAGTTACTCTTAGTTAAGGTATATAATACAACCTCGCATGCGTGCGCATATACTGACTCTCTGCCATTTTTTCTCCATCAGCTATACCAGCTATAGTGCTTGTTCGTACAAATTATTAATCTAGCAATAAATATATTAGATCGCTTAGAACAATCTAGACGCGTTAGTCCATGTGCCATATGTATGCAATATAAATTATGAATACAACAAGCGCGTCGTATGGATTAATCGCATTCTTTCATTTTTTTTTCCTGCTCGACTCTTCTCGTAGATTTTTCTCTTTAATTCACTGCGGCTGTCGCAACGGATGGTTGCGTTTTCTGATGTGTTGCCTGTAGTAGGCTGTCACAGCAGGAGTCTTTCGTACTGGGTGGCAACTTCCTCGACCTCTGACATGTCACTGATTGTTGTAGAGTCGCCGTTTCGAAAGATTCCGCTTCATTTTCTGTTTTAATGTTCTGGTGTCGAGCATTACACTGACAGGAGCTTGTATGATGGTGGTGCACCCGCGCGTAACAGTCGCTACACACTCTTACAGGATTGTAGAGTTGTTCGCTAGGCAAAGGGGTAGAGTTCTCGGAGCAATCGGCACAAAAAATCTTGCCACAGCATCTATATATAATACAAAATATATAATACGAAAAATAAGTCTAAGAATTATACAGTTAAACAAGAGAATAATCTTTCTTTTTCATAATGCTGAATACGATTTGTATTCAAAAGTATGATGTAATAATTCTGAACAGTTTAAAAAAAATCAAGATTGTAAAAAAGGAATATTTGAAAGTAATTTACTATAATTGTGACTATTATGATATCGAAAACGTTTTATTTATTGTTTTCTCAAAACTAAATAAATTATTTAAATTTTCAACTTTCTAAAAGACATTTGCAAAAATTAATATTAAAAAGATTTCTGTGACGGGAAGATTATTAAACCAAAGATCACAGACATTTGTATCAAATATTGAAGCAGCTATATATTCACTAATGTTAGATTCGTGTCCAGCAATCAAAAATATTTTGTACATTTTTCAAACATTCAAGGTTTTTTTAGTTTTGACATCTACCATATTATTTATTATACTGTTTTTAATTTGAAATAAAAATATTATATAACTGGCAAACTCTTAATTTAAATAAACAATTAAAAATGTAGATTGTCCGTGATGTATCTCACAATTCTTCTGCAATGTAATAGACTCAATATTTTAGTTATATAAATGCTATTAAATTTAAATTTTCATAGCTAGTTCAGTCTTTTAACGACTGACAATTTTTACAAGTCTTTGTTTTAAATTTGACTAATATGTCATACCGTAGTTATAGTTACAATTTTAATTTTAAATTTTTCAAAATTGTAATACGTTGAAATTGTATTTAATATAAAAAAAAACTACATTGAATGATTATTTTCTTTGTGGAATATAAAAAATTCTTTTATTAAATTGCGGTTTTTTTCCATCATTGTGTACGTGAAAGAGTCTTCCTATTATTAGTGGCAGCTCTACTAACAACTACTGTTTTATCATGCAAAATGCATACCTGCAGTGATGCTTACGTCTACCGAGCCAGAACTCTGTGTTACATCCCATGCATCGAGTCACGGCATGATCGGGCACCCATAATGTAGGTGCAGGACCTAATTCCTCCACAGCTTCCCAGGACATGTCCGACGGTAATGATTCTCCATGTTCACCGGCGCTACCCACCGAATCAGGTAATGAACCCTGTAAATCATCGCGTACATTATTTTTGTTTTATTTTTATTACATCATCGATCGCATACACACGTAAAAACATAAGATAAACTCAACCAAAGGACTCTACTTACAATGTCATCGATACGATCGGTATCTGTGTTATGATTGCAAACTTGCTTAATTAGTGCCAATCTCGTCGTGTGTAATTCCTTTCTTAAGGCTTCCTCCTTGAGCTAGAAGAGTAATTCGAAATTAAATAATTATATGGCAAAGGTTTTTAAAAGATTTTTGGAAACAGGATCATCTCTACTGTACATGATATATCGCCAGATACTTTCGAGGAATATGCCAGAAGTGTGTAAAATACCAATAATTGCTGCTTTAAGTACCTTATGCTCTACGATAATTTGTTGTACTCGCATTTGGACATCGCAACATATGACAGGAAGACCGTCAACGTCATCCAACCAGTCAGGAGCATCTAGCACAACGTCCTGATGGGTCGGAGAAGCTGGACATATGCTACTGGGAGTTCTTGATATCAATGGGACGCTGGTATCACTCACGTCACTACCCTCATTGCGATTACACGAAGAACAAACAACCTGTGTACTAGTAGTGCCAGTTTCAATCCATGGTGAAACAATATCGTGTGAAGAACTTGTTTGTGGTCTACAAATTTCAACAAACTTTATAGTTGCTTAAAGTTCATTTAAATATCATTGTAAAGATATAAAAAAACTGCGCACTTACGCTTCTTTCTCTCCATTTACCACTGGAACGACGGAATCGTTATTAGGTATTAAAGTATCAGTAGAACTATCTACCGAAGGATTAGCGGGCGAATCGCTGGATGTTTGATTAACAGTATCTCGTTTTGCCCCGATATCAGTCTCTGACAAGTTCTCGTTTGCGGCTTCATTTTTGTTATCGTCTATGTTCTTCACACTCTTTTGATCCACCTCAGTCTGAAGTGCCAGAGAGTCAAATTTCCTGCGACAGAAACGTACAAGAAAAATTTACAAACGTGTCGGCTTATCGACTTGAACTGTATCGTCGATCGCGTACTTTTCCATAGAAATACTCGGATCGCTACGTCTTCGGTGCAGATATGCTGCATGATCGGGGGCGTGCATAAGATCACCGTACGACCTCGTCTTCGTCATTTGTCCCTGCGGCTCTTCACTCTCGCCACCTTCGATGTCTATCACTGTCATTCTTTGTTTATCGTCTCTCATACCGAGTGATGATTCCATGGAGCCTAAATACACCTCGGACCATAGAACAAGATCGCGTACGTTACAACTTGGCCATAATACCTAAAGCAAAATAATTAAAATTAGGATTGTTTGAAAAACCGTTTTGTCATTATGTGGAATTGTATCAATCATGTGATACTTTGCGACGCACTTGATTCTTTAATGGCGAATACAGATGATTCACAAACGCAGTTGAGTTGAGGAAACGCCAAACTGAAAACGTACGCTCGCGTATTCTCAACTGTAGCCTCTCCTGCCTGGTATTACACAGGAATGTACCGAACAATTGCGAGTACGTATGTTGAGCCAATTTCACCTAAAACATTAATATTGCAGATCGCTTAGAAATGATTTCTTCGATAATACATATCTTCCCCCATGACTGTTTATATATTTACTAGATATGCTGATGACATTTGAAAACTACATTGAAATTGCAGGATTAACTGATGGACACAGTCAAGCCACTGAAGAAATACTGGACAGCGCTCGTTGGGATCATCGCAGCCAATCATTTGACCACATCGATCCGCGAACTTGTGTCCAAAGTCTAACCATTCTCTCTCAACTAAGACTTGAAATCCCTAGAATAAAACAATAAATGTAAAATCAGAATAGTATAAAATTGTGTATAGAGCAGTACTCAAATCACTTGGTCATCTATTATCCTTAAAAGGTATTGTATACCTCCATAGTACGATAATATGGATCGAGTAATATTTGGGCTAATGCAACAATTTGGGGAGTTCTGTCCCAGCCGTCGCTACAGTGCACTAATACTGGTCGACCGTCCCTCTCAATCGCGGAAGCCACAGTGACCGCCGCCCGCAGTAAACCCGACATATGCTGCAACCATCGCGTCCCTTCCAGCAAACTTAACCAGCTGTAAAATTAAGTTATATAAAAAATTTAAGATAATTAAGAAATCCAAGAATAAACGACATATAAATTTGAAGTCAGAATAAACTCACTTTGGTTGATCCGCGTCCGATGCGCAAAGCTGTCGCACGGCATGAAAACTCTTCCGTATTGAATGGATATTCGGCAAATTCATAAATTGTATGTCACAGCTCGGATAATACTCGGGACACTCGCAACCACCGCCGCGTGCCCGATTTGCCACGGCGGTTGTGTACGATCTGGCATCGACAATTAAAACTTTCTATAAAGCAAAAATTATTTATGTGAAACATGAGATATAATTGTATGCCTAAACTATATATACCTATATCTAATTCTTTTTCTTTTTTTTCTTTTTATTTAATTTCTTATTAAGACTCCTATTTTTTGCTGTGATATGAAAAACATTTTTTCTTGCACTATACAAATTAACCTTAATCCCTCCAACGTTCCGCCAGGTGATCCTAAAGCCGTGATCCTAACCGGTTTTTTTCTTAGCACTAATCTTTTAATTGGCTTTATAGAAATACAAAATTCTTGTCTAGAATTAAAGTACGCATCAAAATCTAGGTCATGGTGGTCGAATTTATATCGAAAACGAAAAAAAATTAATATTTTTTGTTATACGTGACGACCACCACATACAAATTCGACCACCATGACCTAGATTTTGATGCGTACTTTAATTCTAGACAAGAATTTTGCATTTCTATAAAGCCAACATTAGGGCTCTGAAATTTCTACCTGATGTTCCCTACTATAACAACTTTTTTAGAGGTAGGGGGGATTATCCCACGGCCGTTGGTTTTCCGAAACAAAACGTTAGAAACGCATGGGACACGAAAGTGACTGGTTGGAGGGATTAGGGTTAATTTTGTCACATGTCAGTACACATGTTTTATAGTGTAGAAAATATACTGAAAACTCGAAGACTTCTATGATTTATAAATCAATAAATCGCTGTAAATATTGATCAATTATTGTAAGATCCATTTTCACTGAAAATGTAAGATATTGAATTGTGCACTTATTAATGCAGAATAATAAAAAGGTGAGTTTTCAGGTATATTGTATTATTAGCTCTCGCGCTATATCAAATATAAGCAGTGAAGAAAAAAGCCGCGAAAGTTTTAATCAAATTGACTGATTACAATCCCCTTACTTTGGCAGCACTCGGCATATTATCACCGGAATCGTCGGAATATATAATAGGCGAATCTACTATCGTAGATTCGCCTTTATCATAGCTACACGCATCCGCGAGAGCTTTTAGAAGATCTTCGTCCTCAGAACTTCTCCAACCGAGCCAACCAACTTCCGGTTGACTACTGCGAGCTATCACAGCGCCGTTATTTACGTGTCTTAAAAAATATATTTGTAATAATAAAATAGATGACACTTATTATAAATACTACTATATAAAATATAGAAAATAAAGACTATACCTCCAGACAATAGCTGGAATTCGTCTGGAACTTCGAAATTTGGCAACAAATTCGAGAGTTTCATCGGAAATGCAAGCGGGAACTAGAAGCTGTGGTGGATAGGATGGACACATCCGATAATCCTTATTTATTTGACTTATGCGCCATGTGCCATGCAAATTAAATTTTAATCGCTCGACCTAGGATATAATTTTGTGGAGTAAAAATTTAGAGTAAAAATTTCTACAAACAGCCACAATTACAAACATTTAAGAGGCGTACTGACCTCTGAATTAAAAGTAGTTATATAAGAACTATTATCTTTCCCGAGCCTAGGATAATCTTTGCCTTCTTCCATAGACCAAGCATAGTATGCGAACGCAAATATATCTTCTATACTTTTTCGCGGATAGGTCACTTTGTGCAATCGTTTAAACCACTCCAAACAGTGTTCATTTGTAGTAAATGCACAACTGAAATATCAGCATTTATCAATATTTTGGTATCTTTTTCATAAAAGTAACTATATATATATATACAATATATATATATATATATTTTTTTTTATACGCCATGTTTAATAAATTTAAAAGAGAAAAATGCGTCAAATCTCATACTTATATATGGATGTAAAAAATGACAGTATATCATAAATACCTCAAGGAACGTGCGTCTTTGCATCCAATGTGCAAATAAAATATCTCCTTGACCTCCAATTGCTCGATGAGACCAAGAGGTATATTGTAACACGTTTGACTTAATTGTAGATAAAGTCTATAATTTGAAAGTGCCAAAACACCATCCGTTGTCCGTCCCAATGCCACAACCGATTCTCCGCTCAGTGGTGTAAATGGAATCGTTAACGTTTCATCCTCGCATTCAAAGTGTATGTGCTTAGGAAACAACTCTGAGGCATGTAGATGACATATGGACTGCAAACTGGTAGGTTCTTCTGAACTCTCCATCTCTTCGTTCTATAATTAAGATATATAGTAAGATATATAAGATATATCCTTAATATTTACGGTTAACTGTACTGTTAATTTAATTATGGTTAACTGTACTGTTAATTTAATTATGGTTAACTGTACTGTTAATTTAATTATATGTATGCGACATTTAAGATCTAAGATCTCAAAGCAGGTAAAAAATATTGACGGTCATTGTCATATCTCTATCATTGTATTGTTCTTTATATCAGTAATACAATTCAAATAATACAAACTTACTTAACACAAACTCAGTGACTATTTGGTATGCCAAGCAAGTGCCCTGGCTCCTGTAACATATTGATAACTTGTAATAACATGTATACTTTGCCTCCAAACAGGCCTAACAATAGGCCTGTTCTTTTTAGCTGAACTTGGAGCTTAGCTTTTCATGT